CGTGAGTGTGGGATCAAACTCAACAGAGAAAAAATGGAAATCGGCGTGACTAAAGTAAAATATTTTGGTCACATTATCACATCAAAAGGCTTAGAGCCTGACCCGGAAAAGGTCAAAGCAATTAGGGAGATGAAAGCCCCGACTAATAAGAAAGAGTTAGAGACTTTTCTGGGTATGGTGACATACCTAGCTAAATTTGCTCCCAACCTTTCAGAGATTACCAGCCCCCTTCGCAAGTTACTTGCAAAAGACATGATTTTTCATTGGATCGATGAGCATGAGAAAGCTCTCAATGAAGTAAAAGAGGTAATCACAGCGGCCCCAAGTCCTACGTTAACGTATTTTGACCCCAGCCAGGTCACTACCTTACAGACTGATGCCTCTAAAGTATGGTGTAGGTGCTGCACTGTTGCAGGATGGAAAACCCATAGCTTATGCATCCAAAGCTCTCAACACATCAGAAATCAACTATGCCCAGATAGAAAAAGAGATGTTTGGGATAGTTTTTGGGTGTAAGAGATTTCATCAATACGTTTATGGCCGTAAAGTATTAGTGGAGACAGACCACAAACCTTTAATTCCTATATTCAAGAAGCCCTTGAATACAGCCCCTCCACGCTTGCAGAGAATGCTGTTACAATTACAGCGATATGATCTGGAGGTAATTTACAAACCAGGTACACAGATACCACTTGCAGACACATTGTCTCGCAATTTTGTAAAAGACACCTACCCACCTACTCGCTAAAGGAATGGATGCACACGTACATGCAGTGCTCTAATTCTATTAGTGATAGAAAGTTAGACGAAATTCGTCAAGAAACTGAACAAACTGAACAGTTTCAGACTTTGCGCAAAACCGTTTTAAATGGTTGGCCTGTTAAAAGGAGTGATTGGATTGCCCCTCTGAGATTATAGAATTTTGGAATCACAGAGACGAATTGTCTTACATTGATGGCCTACTGCTCAAAGGGCAAAAGGTTATCGTACCCCAGAAACTAAGGGTGAAAATGCTGCATTCTATACACACAGGTCACAAAGGAATAGAGAAATGCCAAAAACGAGCCAGATCAGCAATTTTTTGGCCAGGCATGTCAGGTGACATTAATGATTTTGTTTCCAAGTGCCCCATTTGTCTCATGCAGAGAAATAACAACCCTAAACAACCTTTGCAGCCACACCCCATCCCTGATTACCCCTGGCAAACAGTTGCCACTGACTTGTTTACATGGGATGGAAAGGATTTTATAGTTGTAGTTGATTATTACAGTCGATATTTTAAGGTAGCTCAACTTACCTCTACTCAAAGTTATCAGGTAATCAGCAAGTTAAAGGTTATATTTGCTAGATTTGGAATCCCAGAAACTGTCATTTCAGACAATGGTCCTCAGTACGCCTCTCAGGAGCTCGAGTTCACTGATTTCTCTAAGCAATATGATTTCAAACATGTGACCTCTAGCCCCAATTACCCTCAGTCCAACGGACTAGCTGAGAAATATGTCCAAATTATAGAAACTGTTTGAAAAGTCAAAGTCTGATAAATCCGACCCGAATTTGGCCTTATTGGAATACAGGGTGTCCCCCCTTGACATCGGACACTCGATCCCCAGCGCAGATATTACAAGAACGGCAGTTGCGTTCTGTTTTACCTGCCACCAATCAACAGTTGTGTCCCCAGTTCTTTGATCCTGGAAAGGTCAAACATAAGATAGATTCAAGTCGTCAAAAGCAGAAGAAATTTTATGACCATGGTTCCCGACCCCTTCCCCCTATAACTGTAGGTGAGTCAGTCAGATTTCAGCGAGATGACAAGTTATGGAAACCTGCCAATGTCATTGATAAGGTCAATGAAAATTCATTTGTTTTACAAGCTCCTAATGGTGGTATATATCGACGTAACAGGCGTCATATTCTCAAAACAAAAGAGCCCAATGTTCCTCATGACACTGATCCACGAGTGCCTGTTTGCACTGAGAATCTGGTTAATAAATCCAGTGATCTTAAAATTCTAGCAGATCACCCAGAGCCTGCTGTAAATGCCCCAGTTAAGTCCCCAGTTAAAGTAAAATCAACCCCTCAGAAAGATGAATGTCATTCACCCCAGCCCTATGTAACACGAGCTGGCAGAGTTTGCAAACAAAAAATTATAGAATCTATATAATTTTTGCAAAGTGATATATAAGACTTTAGAGGAAATTACACTTGGACAAAAGAAAATGAACTTAACTTTATCAAGAATTTTTCAATGACAATATATGTTCATTATTGGATACACATATCTGACAGGCAGGATTAACATGCACATATTGCCAGTGCAGGGATAATCACAAAGACTATGACTGTTAACACCCATGACATTTGATTGAAGAAAGGGAGATGTAACATTATCTTCTTGTTTTTGGTAAATGTCATCAAAGTTCACAAGCTTCCATTAGTGGCATTCTTTGAATGACCCTTGGTCACCTACAGATTACACTTGATGACAGTTCCCAGCCATTGTTAAAGTAAACAGGTGTTCCTCGTACTTTTTAATGTACATGTATATACAATAAACTATCGTAGAAGTCACACGCATTGTTGTTGTCTCTCTCCTGAATAGAGTCCGGCACGTTGGACTCAGTAAAGAGCCATCATATTACAAAATATACCTCTGACAGAGGTCGTATGCTACCTAGCAACCTGGAATAATCATGGATATTTATTTTGAAATTTCCAGGTCCTGGGTAACCTGGAGAAATAGGTGTTTTTTTTTAATAAATGTAAAATTACACCTGGAAAACACCTTAGATTTGATAATTGTTATTGTTATACTAGTTCATGCTCAGTTTATTTATAATTTTTGTTTTCACTGATGACCGTAGATGTCTCATGTATGATCGGCATGTTTCAATAATGAAAATCAGAAATTGAATGACAATTGAAAGACTAAGAATTGTTTTAAAAAGAAATAGTCAAACTGCAAATTTATTTGAATAATTTTGAATATCTTTTGAGGCTATCGAGGCTGTAAATCCATACAATTTTCGCATGGTTGCCTCTGCTCAGACACCACACAAAAATGGATTTACGGGCAGTATAGGTGCATGATGTGGACATCGCATAGCAAATGTAACCTATAGTACGTGAACTTCAACTTCACATTCAAGGAGATTTGCTTTGAATAATAAATGAGAAAATTCAATGGCAAACTGTATTTTCATTTTTCATTCCTTTCTAAAAAATTCACTACCCTTACAATTTGTAAGTGAACTTAATGCCAATATTAAGTAAGCTCGTACTGTTTAACAGATGTTCAAAGAAATGATGACTAGGCTTTATGCTTGAAAGTGAAACTGGCCAAATCTGAAACAAGAGGATAAAGATTTTAAAACATTTATTAAATGAAAAAGAAATAATATTTTTAAAAGACCAAGTGGTACTTTTTATTTTTATTTTGTCAGTCTGTTGCATTTTGGTTTAAAAGCTGTCATAAAATTTTCTGATATTGTTTGAGATTCTTAATTTATTCGCATGTATACCCAGTACATTGTATTAACCTTTGCTTAATTATAGTTGAGATCTCCCACCCTCCATATCCCTGTTATCAACAAATTGATAAGTAATCTCACATTGCCATGCTTCATTTTTTAAGGTAACCTTAATTCTGCCATTTAGCAGACAAAACAAACACCAACCCATGAGTGGATCCAAGAATACTAGTAACCCTTGCTTTGGCGGTGTGCCCCCCCCCCCCCTCTCCCAGCACAGGAACACACACACACATGCATATGCGCTCACAAACACATCTTTCACAGACAAAGTTTCACACGCGTGCACGCGCACACACACACACACACATACACACACCTTTCATGGTCTTCTACTGTTGGCATGTTCACTAGTGAATAAAGGAAACAAGAAACATCTTACACCCCATTACCCTAGATTTTTAGATCGATCTATCCCTGTGGGGAGTCTCACTAGATTACTGTCAGCATGGCCGGCTTAAGCGTCTGTCCCGCCTACTGAAAGCTGAAAGGGGGTAATTAACTCTGGTGCCCGCTCAGCTGACTGCAATTTAGCGTGAACCCCCAGGGAGTTAGGTCGATCTAAAACTTAATCTTTAGATCGATCTAACACCCCATTCTCATAGATTAGATCGACCTACATTGGATCGACCTAACTCCCTGGGGGTTCACGCTAAATAGCTGTCAGCCGGGCGGACACGAAAGTTAATTACCCCTTAAAGCTTGTAGTAGGCGGGGACGGACACTTAAGGGGGATTATCTGACAGTAATCTAGTGAGACTCCCCGCGGTGATAGATCGATCTAAAAGTTGTGAGAACAGAGCCTTAATCTCTGGGAAAGCACCCTTACTGTTATTTATCATGTGCAGTATTTACACTGACACTTCCCTGGGGTTACCATCACACAGGTGGGCTCCACATGTTGGCTGGGGCAGCCAAAGCAGAAATTTCCTGCCACACAATCTGCATTAGTTAGACAGTCAACTTCAAGAGACTCTGAAAAGAGAGGAATATTGGGGTATATTCACAGTGAAACTATCACACTAAGTAGTTCAAACTAATGCAATGAAGTCAATCAAATTAAAAGATGAACAGGGCACCTCCTGGCATTGAGTAGAGTACAGAAAAGTGATGATTAAGCGATTATGTTGGAAACAAGTGGATGTGTGTTTATTTGTTAATCTGATTATATTCAGCTAGAATTGACACAAAGTACGAACTTCTTACCTGTTGTATGAAAGTACGTTTCATTGTGAACTTTCTTTAAGGTGTTGGCATAGCTGAATACTGGCTCAGAATGAAATACAAATTTCAAACATTTGATAGCAAATTGAATTATGCATGACAAAGAATTTACAATGACAGTACAACTAACCTTGAACAACAAACAACAAGAGGAATGCTACAACAAGCCAAAACCTCATCTTGATGTCCACACTGTTGGTATTGTATGTAGTAGTAGACGAAAAACTTCTACTAGCAAAGATCATTCCCTATCAGGCAGAAAGAGTATTTATACTAGTACTCTATTGTCTTTTTGGTGGGCTTTTGTCACATGATTTGACAATATACAATCATTATGTTGGAGAAGTATCATATAGCTGATATGGACCAATGAAAACGAAATATTTAATTTTGAATTGGCAAAAATGACAGGCTTCATTTAGTCAGGTTTTCATGACTTTCGGGGACATTAAACTGTCCTACTTTGACTTGCATTTATTTTTAAAAGAATGGCTTGAATTTTAAAGGATGTGAAGTGTGATCTAAAAAATAAGACAGGTGAATTTCTGTAAGAGGCTCTAATCTGGAATTAACAAATTCAAAAATATGAACAATGATTGACAAGTCTTGGCATATGATGAGTGATATAAGTGATATGAGTGACTTAACACTGTGCCCCTATGTCATGTTAACCCTTTTTTCCTTTCAAAAAAGATTCACTAACATTTTCATTCTCACTGGTTGTAAATTAGTGTTCTGTAGCTTTTTTTTTTTTTTTTTTTTTTTTTTTTTGATTGAAAAGGCTGATAATAATGGAAGGTAAAAAGCTTTGGCAGCTTTGCACCTGTATTTCAGTAGTCATTGTGAAAGTTTGCTGAAAAAGGAAAAAAGATCAATGATTAATGATTATGTATTTTCAAGTGAATGTGCTCACCCTGGTTTTCAGAGTCTGCAGGAGACTGTTACATGTTGTCTCCATAAGCATATCCCGATTATGGGGCGAGTCATGGACAGGACTCTTATTCACATTAATAAACCTCACCCAAATCTACCTTATACAACCAAATGGCAATATAATAACAGTTAATTGTTAAGAAAATGGATTTCTAGTAATTATCATGTGTTTTGAATTGCACTTCAAATTCTACTCATGTCCAAATAACAATAATAATCATTGTGTTAAAGGGGTGCTTTTATCACTAAGTTGGATAAAAGAGATGTCTTAATATTTCAGGTGGAGAAGTTAAAACAGATTGGCCATGTAGCTATAACTGACAGTGAGCCAGCTCGTACCTCAGCCAGAAGATGGGAGGAAAATGGTGTGATTAAGGTATGCGCGTAAAAAATAGAGAGAGAAATGGATATAGCCCATGCAAAAAAAAAAAAAAAAAATTAGAAAGAAATATTACATGTGCTTGAAATTATATCATAGCCTAAAGATGTTTGGAATTTTTTACCTTTTTCATTTCAATCCTTTTTCAATTTACTCTGGGTGTTTTCATTCTAAGTGTTAAGTGAAATATGTACATGTAATTAGGTCAGACAAAATTGGCAAGTTGGTTAATAAGAGTTGACTCTCTGTTAACAGGGTTAGTTGACAAAATTAATTTTTTTAAAACTTAAATTAAATAATTATATTGAGCATGGCAGCTAAATTTTAAGATCAGTAAAAAAGAGGGAGAGTGAGAGAAGTATAATAAACTTACATATTTATTTTTCACATGGTGTTTTGTATTCATTTCAGACAACAGGCAGCAACTACCTATTTGTAGTTGGTTACAGACTAGGCATTCATCCAGATACCCTGGCAGCGTGGTATTATGGGAAGTTTAAACCTGTTACACAACCACAGCAAACTTGATCACTGATATAATATGTGAAATAATATATACTTGATGGCGGGCAATAAATGTTTTCTGCTACTGTCTTACCAAGACCAAAAGGGACACTTTGACTGTGTTCCCATGACCTTATTGTACTAGCAGGATTGATCTATCTCAGCAGGGATTCTCGCTAAGGCGCAGTCAATGTAACCAGCTTAACTGTCGGGCATGCCCCCTTGCAAAGCAACATGAAGTACGTCATGGACCATTAAGTTTTCCTGATTTTATCCGAGTACTTTAAGTTACAAGTTGTTGTGCCAGACGTTTAAGCCACTTAAACTGAATGCAATTTAGTGAGAATTCCGAGTTAGATCAATTCAGCTAGTATGACAGGGTTATGGGAATTGTCTTTCAGGTGCCAAAAAAGTCTTAGTTGGTTGCTACATTGTGGTCCTATGATTTTGTAGGTTGATTTTCTATCCAGACTAATAAACAAGGGATTGTGGAATATGATATAGTGATTGTGAATCTTGTTATACCCATCTTTCTCTAATTGTTCTTATTAATATTATGGAATGTTTCCCTTTTGTGACTGAAAATCCAATGTAATTATCAACTAGAGAGAGGCTGTTTCAGATTATTTTCCAATAGACTACAAAAGCTTTAATGTGGCATTGCTTATTTAGGCTATCAATATTGTATTGAATACCACATGATGTTTTTAATAATGTTCCATAATAATGCCTAAAATCAGTCTGAAAAGTTGTTTTTTACAGGTATATTGAGATACAGGTAATCAGTGCCAAACACATTACTGTTATGAAATATGTATTATAAATTAAGTCTGTAGTACATTTGTATTAAGTGAAATTTGTTGATTTATAGTAGATATATTTTTTTTTATTTTAAATTTAAATTTGGTGCTAATTTTTTTCTGTCTAATTCATACTGCTGTGCTTTCATAAAGACTACACTCTATGCACTAGTGTTTATGTACAGAAGAAGAAACTGGAATAAATACACGTTGAAACAGTAATAAGGTACATTGATGAATATGTACACTGTGTACATTTTACTGACTATATTCTAAAATGCACATGCCGGATTTCAAACCATTATTACAGTACAGACCTTGCATAAAATGGCCTCATATAAACTGAATTTAATTGTATAAGTTACATTCAGAATCTGGAAGCCCTGGCCTTTTCTAGTAAGGATCAGTAAACCATGTGACAGCCTTCATTTATAACAGTGAACAAAAACGGCCATGCAATCCCATTTAAATTAGTCCTTTATAATATGCAGTGTGTGCGTGTACTGTATATCTCTGTGTATGGGTGCTTTCCCAGAGATTTAGATCGATCTAAAGATTAAGGGCGCATTCCCATAGATTTTAGATCGATCTATCCCCGTGGGGAGTCTCACTAGATTACTGTCAGATAATCCGGCTTAAATGTCTGGGAATGGGGTCTTAGATTTAGATCGACCTAACTCCCTGGGGGTTCACGCTAAATTGCAGTCAGCCGGGCGGGCACCATAGTTAATTACCCCCTTTTAGTAGGCGGGACAGAGGCTTAAGCCGGCCAAGCTGACAGTAATCTAGTGAGACCCCCCACAGGGATAGATCGATCTAAAAATCTATGGAAATGGGGTGTATGTTGATAATACAGAGAGTTTCTCATAAGTTTTAAAAAAATGTATACAAAAAATTCATAGGCATTGGTAGTAGTTATGTGTTATCTAAGGTTGATATGTTGGTGGAGAAAGGGGACTGTCACAAAAATTTTGTGTACCCTGTACACCCAATGTCGCCAGCGAGGACCCTTCTTGACATCGGCCCTGAGGTGCATCCAGCTGAACAATTCTGGAGCTAAAATTTATCTAATTGCTGTATTTTTATAATAAAGACAAGCATGCTGTGTTTTGTGCATATTTTTTTTTATTATTTCTGTGAGTAAAATCAGAACAAAAAAGGGGGAAATATAATCTACTAGTATATTATGAAATAATTTGGGATGTACATTCCCAATATGTGTGATTGCACATTACAGTATAGAAACTTCTATTCAATAAACATTGCTGAAGACCTTGAAGTATTCTATTCTGCATGTATACAAATAAAACACTTTTAAAATTTTATTTTCAAAAAGTGTAGGAACTGATTGTGACTTACAATGAGTTTGGAAATAATGATGAAATTACACTTATGTTCAGTCTCACA